CTATAGGTGGGACAGGAAGCAACAGTTAGAACTGGATATGGAACAACTGATTGGTTCAAAATTGGGAAAGGAGTACGACAAGGCTGTATATTGTCCCCCTGCTTATTTAACTTACATGCAGAATACATCATGCAAAAGGCTGGACGCCAGAATTATGCTTGCCAGAAGAAATATCAACAACCTCAGATATGCAGATGATACCACTCTGATGGCAGAAACTGAGGAGGAATTAAAGAACCTCTTCAAGAGGGTGAAAGAGAGCGCAAAAATGATCTGAAGCTTAACATAAAAAATAATAATAATAAGGTCATGGCCACTGGTTCCATCACTTCCTGGCAAACAGAAGGGGAAGATATGGAAGCAGTGACAGATTTTACCTTCTTGGACTCCATAATCACCGCAGATGGTGACAGCAGCCACGAAATTAAAAGACATCTACTTCTTGGGAGGAAAGCAATGACAAACCTAAACAGCATCTTAAAAAGCAGAGACATCATCTTGCCGGCAAAGGTCTGCATGGTCAAAGCTATGGTTTTTCCAGCTGCGATGTATGGAAGTGAGAGCTGGACTATAAAGAAGGCTGACCGCCAAAGAATTGATGCTTTTGAATTGTGGTGCTGGAAGAGACTCTTGAGAGTCCCCTGAACTGCGAGGAGATCAAACCTATCCATTCTGAAGGAAATCAACCCCGAGTGCTCACTAGAAGGACAGATCCTAAAGCTGAGGCTCCAATACTTTGGTCATCTCATGAGAAGAGAAGACTCCCTGGAAAAGAGCCTAATGTTGGGAAAGTGTGAGGGCAAGAGGAGAAAGGGACGACAGAGGATGAGATGGTTGGACAGTGTCATCGAAGCTATCAAAATGAATTTGACCCAACTCCAGGAGGAGTGGAAGACAGGAGGGCCTGGCGTGCTCTGGTCCATGGGGTCACGAAGAGTCGGACACGACTTAATGACCAAACAACAATTATTTCCTTATTTAATGAAGATTTCTGCCTATGTGATTTTTACAACAATATTGCCTTTCCTAATGCTCTGCTACTCAGTCAAGAGTGATGGTACCATATCTTGCCTCAGGACAAAGGATTCTAGTGAGACGGATCCTTCTCCATTGTCTGAAGAGGGTCTACGAAGTACCTTGTTATTTTTGACCAATTTTCTCACATTTGCTTTGAGTTTGCTATGAGCATACTTTTTACTACATCTCTTAATATGAATTGTTCAGTGTGTGTATATGATTTTGGCTTTACTGGTGTTACTCTTAAACTTTTGGAAGTTTTAGTGAATTATAACTGAGTTCACGCTATTATGTATTATAACTGTAATCACTGTTACTATACTCATTTCTTTTTGTGAACCAATCTGAACACAATACATTAAACAAACTACAGCACACTGATTACTTCGGTATTTAATTTTACTATGACAGAATTCTCATTGCAGAAGCCATCCTGATTATTCCTAAAACTCATTAAGATGATTCATTTCAAAATAAGCTTCCAATGGATTCATAAGATCCTTTTTTAAAGAATAAAAAGAAAAACCTCCAAGAATACAATGACACTGAAAGAATTGACATTCAACATTAACATTAAACACTGTAAAGAACTTTAAGACAAATATGCCAATTTACAACAAACTTTAAAGATAGATATGATAGCTATTATTCTTGGAATGTTTCCAAGGTCTGCTACAAGGTTTGGTGGTGTTTACTTCCAAGTCAATAGATTTAGTACTGGGCTACAAGAAATGTCTAACAATTCTATTAAGACTTTTTTTTACTCCAGCACAATCCTTGTAAATACTCTAAAACTATATAAGTAGCTCAGTCACCTACCTACCTGATGGACCACAAGTTGTCAATTCAACTACTTTTGAAGCACTATATTAACTAAGATGTGATTTAAGAATAAATTAATGTATATTTACTACTTGGCCATTCTAGATAAAGAAAAGTACCGTAAGTTCAAATTTAAGTGACAATTCTGAAAAAACACCCCACAAAAAATCTAATATTACATTATTCAAAAAAGAATAAACTGTTTTCAATTCCTTATTTATAAATATTGTATGCTAGCCAGCCCTCTACTCACTACTGGCAGACAAGACAGCAATAAGTGGCGAACAGGCTTACATACAGTAGTGGTATGCATACTACAGGAACTGGTGCCAAGAAATGACTCATACTGCTCAGTAATCTCATTCAAAAAAGAGGCTCCACATAGAGGCAACATACCAAGTTTTCATTGGTCAGAAACCATACTGAGAGTGAAGCGCAACCAAAACTTAAAACAATGTTCCCTTCAAATCAGTTACATTATTTGCATTCCTGAAACACCTATTTAACTACCACCACATAACCAACAACTCAAATTAATTGTAAATGTGAACACCTGTAAGAACGGAAGATATTGTCTTTTGACTCTTAACTAATGGAAATAAACCATAGGGCTCCCTGAACCATTAGATCGTATTATAACAGTGTTGTATAGAAATCAACTTACACTGCAAACAGATATGTGCCTATTGCACCACATACACATTTCTCACATATGATAAACCGCAGGTGACACCTGTACCATTTCCTATAGAACTAGCTTCCAACTTATTTTTAGATGGAACTCCTACATTGCTCAGAACTATTCTTAAAATGGAAACAATTATATCAGCATTGAAGATCACTTGAAAAAAGATTTACTTATTCTAGTCTCACGTCTAGTTAAAAAAATTTTTGGAGTGATTCAAGGACCTCTCTGGAGACTAAAGCAGCAGCAAAGATATGTAAGTGTGGTCCTAAAAGATCAGAACTAGGAACATTTTGAACTGATTAAAGTCTAATTACATTCAAGGAAACTTAGCTATGATTTGGTGTAAGAATCTGAACTGAAAACAATTCTGTTCCCTAGAATAAGAAACTATGCTTTAAGACAGCTTGCTAATTATTTGTACTATAACTTGGTGTAATATTTAAATTCTTACTGTGGCTACTGCATTGTAGCCTGGGACTTTTTGTTCCATTGCAACTGAAGTATTGACAAGAAGGCAACTAAAGTAGGAAAAAAACTACTCTAAATGGTGTGCTTTACATTTCCAGAACTCAAAATACTTCGATTTTTACACTGTTAGTGCAAATACCGGTCTGGAAGGATGTAAGAAATTAGTCAAATCATACGTTTCGGTGATTCCCCTACCCCTTTAAAAGCTGAAATTTATGAATCTCTTTCCCACATGCCAACAGGCAGGTACTTCACTACCCTTAAGGTGCCTCCTCTGAAGAACACAAGTCTCCTGACCTTCCACCGCTCCCTGCAGACTAAAGAAGTATCCTTTGTGAAAGCAGCCTCCCTACTGGCAGAATTTCACGGTTTAGAATTTCATTGTGCACAGACCGCGCCATCTCGTGATTAGCGAAACTCGAAGGGACAAAAGGCGCCAGGTACGGCAGCTTTTGGCTGCCTGCCTCCCTCTTCCTTCGCCCTCAAGGAAAGCAAAAGGAGGCCGCCATCAGTCTCGCACCCAGGGGCAACATCGCCATCGCCGCCGCCTCCAGCCAGATGCCCAGCAACGGGTCCCTCTAATCCTAGAGAAGCACTCCCGACACTTCCTTAAAGAGGCACCGCGGCTTTCGCTCCACAGGCTGGACACGCCTGAGGCGGATGCATCGCCTCCCCACGACCCGCGCCCACCCCGGCCCCGGCGAAGGTGCTGACCTGATGGGCGTGATGTGGAACTGATCTTCCCGCAGGCCCCGCCACGCCCCCCGCAGGAACTCCCGGCACCACAGATACGCCTTGCGGCGGGTCCGGGGGTCGGGCTGCTCTTCAACCGGAGGGGAAGGAGGGGTCGGAGGGGCCGGTGGCAGAGCGAGAGGCAGCGGCAGCGGCTGCTGGTGGTGGTTTTGCTGCAGCTGTGGCTGTCCCCGGAGCCCCACCTCCTTCGCGTCTGCCTCGGTGTGAGAAGAAGGTGGCGACGATGGAGACGAGGGGGACTGGGTGAGGGCGGGTAAGACCGGGCCCGGAGGGCACCCTAGAAGCAGCCCCAACGGGGAAGAGTCGGCCCCGCCGTTACAAAACTTGGTCTTCATAGCGAACGAGCGAGCGGGAAGCAGAAGAAACAAACGGCAGCGGCACGAGCGCAAAACGGACGCAGGCGACACCTCTCCTCTCTCGAACGCCTGCACAATGTCCGCGGCGCGCGCCTGCCCCGAGGTTCTTATAGCCCGTCGGCACGCGGACCCTGCGCACGCGTTCACCGCACGCTCCCCAGCCCCCTCAGGCCAGCCTTCCTCCCCTCTCTTCGCGGCGTCCTTCCTCTCTGTTGATTGGCCGAAAGCCCAGACAACCGTAATATTGCGGCCGCGCCGCTCCCTGATTGGTCCCCGTTGCTCTGGTTATTCGTGAGGCTGGGGCTCCGCGTAGCTCTGAGAGGAAGGAATGGCAAGCTGGGGGGAGGAAGCAAGGTGATTGTGCTCCTGGTAGAGGGAGGCGGCCTTCGAGCAGAACGCCCACCCTTTGCAGCTCTTCTTCCAGCGGTGCCCTCGGCATTGATATACCCTCCCTCTCCAGGAGACAGTCGTGACTCTCCTTCCCCCTCCCTCTTTTTTTATTATGGACTCCATTTTCTTTTTCTTGGTCCATTCAGTCAAGTCTTCTCTTAGGCATCTGGATACGTGAGGCTGGGGTGATGTCCTTCAGCATCCACAATCTCAAACGGGGAGAAAGACAAAAGGGAAATTCCCTCGTCCAATTTCTCTTCCCCCCCCCCCCCGCCATAACATAACCATCCTCATGAAACATGTAAGGGGCGTGAAAATCAAGGACTGGTTGCAGGCACGTGAACTCCAGTCAGCCTGAACGCGGCAGATCACGAGAGCAGCGTTCAGTCCTTCCCCTTCGCTGTTTGTTCGGCAACTGGATGATGCTAGATCTTTCCGAGGATGCTAATTTTGTCGCGTTCGGCTTTCAGTTGATGCGGCATCATTTATGATATTAGTTCAAGGCTATGACAAAGGCATCAAGTAATTAGCAGAGCGAAGGCGCAATGGGGGGGGAAGCAAAAAAAAGGAAGGGTTGTGGGGGAGGGGAAGACGGCTGCTACGCATTTTTAATTCGGACATATGGAAATTTACAGCTCAAATCTTATTGTTACATCACTGCTTGAAATAAAGAAAAGGGGCGGGGAGAAACGGGTGGTTTGAAAACGTGCCTCCCTCTCCCTTCCCCCGCACACACTCGCTCTGTTCTTATTAATAATTAATCTTAAGAGTTGCGAAGTTATTAGTTATTTTAACACCACTTCGTTCTGCATTTGGAAATGTAAAATGGCCTCAAGCTGTGATCTCATTTCTGAAACACGGGGGTGACTTCACAGTTACAGGGATGCCTGTGTGTCATTTTTCCAGGTTGCGATGGAGTGAACGTTGCTTAACGGTAGCTGCTCTTGTTACAGCAGAGTCACCTAAGAGAGGCCCCGTTTTGAAAGCCAAGGATTCCACTCCAAAGACGACTTTAGATGGGTGTTTTGCCTCTAAACCGAAACCGGGCTTTCCCTGATTTCACCTACAAGTGGTTTAAAACACCTCTAGAAATTTTGCTTTTACATCAGTAGTAAGACTGTTGTTATAAGCAAAGCTAGTCCTATTAGTGCAAACAAAACCTAAATCTGCAGGAAAGAAATACCATTCATTACTAGGACCAACCAAAATTAACGGAAGTACGCAAAACTTCAAGTTCAGATTTTTTTTCTAGTTCCTCTCCTACCAGTCTTTCTTTTATTTCTTTGTATCAGAGTGTTGCATGATTTTAAATTATGGATATATATGAAATGTATAAAATGTAAAACATTAAAATGTTGAAATAATTAGATTATATTTGAAAAGAAGAAGGCTACTTCAATAGTGTTATCTCAGCCATTTGCTAGATGATCTTTTGTACATGTGGTGGGGCATAGGCTGCATGAGTATACCTGTTACATTGATTGAATTTCTCCATAGTCATAGGAAATTTGCCCTGTATCCAAGTAACTCCATTTGACTTGATTATTCTTTGATCTTCTCCATTTCAAAGTCTATTAAGACATTAAGTGACTTCCACATAGTCCAGCTAGGGTCTTGTACTGGTGGCAGACACTCTTCAGCATTCATCCATTTGGTAAGGTGTGTTTTTGTTCTTCACAAGGGTAGCCTAGCCTCTTCTAGTTTTATATTTAGAGCCTGAGATATGTGCAGAAAAATTTTCCTCAATTTTAGCTGTCGTCTAGGGTGTTGATATCTGTGAAGTGCTACACTACCTAAAAGGTTAAGAACCACTGGTCTAGGGGGTTGATATCTGTGAAGTGCTACACTACCCTTGGTGCTAGATTACATATGTGTGCAGATACACACATGCATGCATGTCCCCCCTGGCATGGATACCAGCCCCCTGACAGCCCCCCTGGATACCCACACAGAAGGGAATGGGATGGATAAAACGGCAAGGTGGGGTGGATGTGGCCCGCAGGCTGTAGTTTGGAGACCCCATCTTATTTCATTCATTATTTGCTAGCACCTCTCCATATAGTACTGGAGGGACAATGTTGGCCAAATAATAGACTTTTTCAAGGGGAATAGGTTTCAGACGGCAATTACCATGTTCCCCCGAAAATAAGATAGGGTCTTATATTAATTTTTGCACCAAAACACATTAGGGCTTATTTTCAGGGGATGTTTTATTATTTCATATACCACAATCTACATTTATTCAAATACACTCATGTCATCTTGTTGCTGCACAGTGATGGAGGGCGGGGTTTCACTTAACTGGGGCTCATTTTTTGGGTAGGGCTTATATTACGAGAATCCTGAAAAATCATACTAGGGCTTATTTTCAGGTTGGGTCTTATTTTCGGGGAAACGGTAATAATCCTGTATGATTCATTAAGTACATCCACTTGTTTGACTTGTGCTGATTTGTAATGGAGGACATAGAAGGAACCTCCCCAAAGAATGGAGAAGTGGTGTTAGTACGCTTGGACAACCCCTGGACAACAGCATGCAGCTGGCCAATTTTTGACTTCCAGAAGCTTTTTGCACTGTAAACTTACTCTCATATCAGTCGCTGGCCAGCATCACATGTATTGTGGCTTTGGATGTCGGCTCTAAATGGTTATGTGTTTTCTCCAACCCATTCTCTTAAGGGGTTTTAGTTAACAAGTTCATCTCCTTCATTCACTCCCCTCCCCCATTTATTTTGTCTTTAACCATCTGTTCTTTTGCTTATTCATCAGGCTAGGGCAGGGGGGAAGTAGGAAAAATGCACAAAAAGCAAAAAACTGTTTAATTATTTTATTCTACTCAAAAGAGGGATAGACTTTTCTAGAAATCTCTGTGACAGTTACTTGCACAGTTCTTTCTTTTAAAATGATGCGGTTCTTTCTTTTAAAATGATATTTTAATCTGTTTTAATCCAATGTCTCAGTATTGATCTTCAGGGTCTTTGACTCTGGTTGATGTCTGCTCCACACACCAACACATCCATGAGAACAGTACCCATGAATACGGGGATGGGATATAAAATACTTCTTTGGAAGAAGCCTTCCCCATTTCTTCTCACTCCTGGTCACATGTCCAGTTGTATTTCTGTTCACCCCTCATTCCATTCATGTAGGACGTGCTCAGGAGAGATGAAAGATGAGCTATCAGACATTACTACTCGGAAAGATCTGACAGTGAATTATTCTCTAATCTGAAAGGCTGAGAAATTACTCTCTAACCAGGAAAGGAAGCTTTGCTGAGCTAAGAGGGAATGTGAAGATGAAGTTAGGGCTCATCTGGTTGTTTTGAATATCAACTCAAAAAGAGGAAGAATTCATCCAACTTTGTTTCCTGTACCTACTACTGGCAAGAATACAAAATCTATAGGAGAAAACCTTTATTAAGACCAACCAGAGCTTGGAAGTAGCCAGTTACAAACCAGTAGTTACTTAAAATTGATTTCTTTTTCCAGTAACAAAGGTATAACTTACATTATCAATGTCACTTAACAAGAAGAACATCTTTTGCAGTATAATTGTAACATATAGTTATTTAGTTATGTGGAATAGAGGGAGTGTCATTTTCCAAGCACTGGCTCATGTTGCTGCCTTATACTTGGTTGTAAGTACCGAGGTGATGATAAGGTGGATTAGAGGAGAGTATCTTCTGCATCACAAGTCAAGCAGCTTATAGAAATGTGATTTTTTTTTTTAAACTAAGAAGTGTTTATTTGGTTACTTCCTGAGAAATAGGGAAATAGTAACTTTGAAAATGGAACTGTAACAATAACAAACTGAAAAAGAAAAACCTGGACTTTGAACTATGATTGTAACTAACAGTTCCATTCTCTCAAACATATGGCGTAGCTACTCCTGGTAGTGCTGATTTCCAGTAATAGTCTAAGGAGCAATGTACTACGTACTCCTGTCCCACTTGCAGATACAGTGGGGTCATGAGATAAAAGGCTTTGATGGCACCAATCCCAGAAAGCTGCATTCCCCAAAGACTGGCTAACCCTGCCCCTGGTTATGTAACAAGTAAATCAACTTACGTGGCAGCAGACCAGTTCCTGCCACCCTTGTGAACTTCCTGGCTTAGAGTAGAAACATGTTCTTTGCCATCTGAGTAAAGTATGAAAAGTACACTTCCTGCAGCAGTTTCATTTGCTAAGATTCTCTATGCCCATGGCAATCAAAATCTTCAATTCACACATAACCTGCATAGAAAACTTCAGAGAAAAGTTCCATGGGTAAAATGTGTTTTGTTTCATTTTATATCCCCCAACTTCTCAGGTTCCCCCTGTACAGTGAGATTTTATCTGTAGTGGAAACATTTGAGTTGTTTCTTTGCTTGCTTGTTTAAAGCACTTTTGTCTCACCTTTTGCTGCAAGAGAACTTACCGCAATAATTCAGGTACTGTACAAGTGCATCAGAAAATAACAATATAAGAATATAATGAAAAGCATAAAAAGGACAAAACAGAGTGAGACAGAATCAATCAGAAAAGCAGGAGTAAAAAAAAAAATTTGAGTTGCTGTCTGTACATTTCTTTAAATGTCACATCTGTTCGCGAGCCCCAAAGTATGACTGCAAACAGCCCACTCCACTGCCTTAGAAGAATGTTCTCTGTGCAAGACTTAGTGGCATGGGGCAAGGTGGATGAAGAGGCCATGTCCAGCTTGATGGCATTTCTTCCAGTGCTAAATCTGCTTGTGCTCAGCACTCCCCCATCTCTTCAGCGAAGTTATCTTATGATTGCCCTGCAACAGTCCACATGAACAGACCACATGAACA